AGAGAGAGAGAGAGAGAGAGAGAGATAACTAGTCCTACATAGCACAACATGAACACTCAAGTTAGGGACTTGGCCTATTAGAGCTTGCATGGGAGCATCTTTATCCTGGTTTGGGGTCCAGGATCATGGAGTTTCTTAAGTCATCCCTGCTTTTAAGAGAATCTGGGGAATTTTGAATGCTGGGAGTTGGGAAGTCTGGGTTATTCAGTTGTTTGTGTGGACTCTTTGAAAGAAAGGGCATGGCAAAGAAGTCTCTATTAGGTCGCCAGTTTTCCCAAATCCTTCCACACCTTGCATCCGCAGTGCTGGTAGAAGAAAGGAGAATAGGTAGAAACCATGTGATATTCCTGTGCTTGATGCAGTAGTCCATCATCACTATGCCTGAAATTTCAGAGGTTATTTCTCAGGATTGAAATCAGGAGATGAAATAAGAGATTAGAGGAAGCAATTCCTTGGAGAATATGAAAGAACACTGATTTGGACTGGGACGGTGGTGGTGAACCTATGGCACCTGTGCCACGGTGCGCTGTTTGTATCATTAAAGGCTCTAAAAGGTTCACCATCACTGGGTGAAGGAAAGGCAACTAAATGTAATCTTTAGTTTATGCCCATTGATGTATAGATCGGGAAGCAAAGCAATGCACATGACTATATGTCTGCATTTTGTGTATCTTGTATGTTCTTGGACATGTGTGCTGTATCTTGTGTGCCTAGTATAAGTATGTACATTGTGTGTATATGCTGAGTTGGGTGTAGAAAAATAGTAAAGTATCCTTTGTGTATTTTGTCCATGTTTCCATTATGGCCATGTAGTTTTATGTATTTTGCATCTGAGTTTCAGGTTGCGTATTTGTACATGGGGTATGCCGGTCTTCTGTGGATGTTGTTGGTAAGCACAATCTATGTCTTGCTGAGTGCATATATTTCCTATGTAGTTATCACCATATATCTTCTATGTCTACCTCTTACATTAACTTAGCTATATTTTGCATGTGTGCTGCATGTGTTGTACTTGTGCATGGTGACACTATATCATCTACTTTATGATGGATGTGCTTGCATGTGTATGAACATTTCGTAGTCCCAGGCCAAGGATGCTGTGATATCTAGCCCCTGACCTAGGCCTCTAGTATAGGTTGCTTTAACCTTCTATTTTCCGAATGTCTGTGTCTGCCCCATGTCTTGAGATTCAGCACCACCTCCCATGAGGGAGAGGAAGAGAAGCACAGAGGCTTTGTGCTGGGCACAGGATGCCCTGCAGACACCTAGGGAGGTGGGTGACCAGGAACTAGTAAGCACCCTGGGCCTAGCACCCTAAGCTGGAGCCCCACCCCCAAGTCAACTGTAAGTGCCAACAGTGAGGCCTGTGCTGGCATCACCCCCAGACAGCCTGACCACCAGAATATCTGCTTTTGGAAAACAAGCCACTATGTCAAAGACAAAGAGCCATCCCCCTAACCCATCTCAGGACCAAACTGTTCTCTATTTCTAGGCTAAGCAGAAATCATTCATTCTTTACCTATTCTGGAGGGTGGGGGAAAATTCTTTATCCATTTTGGGGGTTACTTTTTTTCAAAGTATCTCTGGTTGCCTATTTAGTGGGGAAAGAGTTTGAGTCTGATGCCTTTGAATCATCTCAGGACTTCATCACTCTGTCCTGGAGTTTAGAAATTTCCATATATAGAGGAGGCTCCCTTTTAAGTCCAGATCAATGGGATTTGGTCCCAGGGAGCCCTACTCCTTGGTTTCAAAGCAGAGGATCCATTCTGGCTCTCTAGGGACAGGTTGTTGAAAATGAAGGGTACAGAGCCAAATAATATTGAAAATAAAAGGATGAGAAATGATGAGAATGGAGATGAGCAACAGGATGAACTTTAGAGAGGAGGCCTGGGGTGGGTCTGGCCCAGGACAGCCGGAGCTATGAGGGCCATAGGGCCCTTGTGCACTCAGTAAGACAAGCTTCAGTCATGGGGAACTGAAGCTGCAGCACATGGAGGGCAGAAAGACAATTCTAACGTCTAGGAATCCATGAAGACTGGAGTGTCTGAGGCAAGAGCAGCAAACCCAGGTCCATTGGGGTTACCAGTGAGACCCATTTGGCTTCTTACACAACCAACCCACAGAGGAATGGGTTTGCTCCTGAATCTGAACTCCAGAGAATGAATATATATGTATGTGTGTGTGTACATATACACACATATGCATATATATACACATGTACATATATATATATTCTAGTGCACATAGTTAAACACATGCATAAATTGCCCTGTGTCAAAAATATTGCATAAGCTTATATAATGTTCAAATGCAATTTTTTTCTATAGCTTGCTAGGTAGAGGAACAGAGGGGGGAGAGAGAGAGAGAGAGAGAGAGAGACAGATAGAGAGAAAGAGAGAGAGAAAGAGAAAGAGAGAGAGACCTGATACATATTTATATACACTGAGTACACAGACCTGCCTGTTCTCAAGACGGATTCCCTGGTCAGCTGTGCAGTCACACCCATGACTAGGTTAATTCCCAAGGTGCAGTCATGTGAATATAAAGACTCTGCTTTCCCTGCTCTTTCTGCTGCCTTGGGTCCTGTGCTCTCACTGAAGCAACAGAGATAGGTGGGCTGGAAGGCCAGGAGTTTTGGTTTCCTCATTCCAAAGAGTCTATTTTTTCTCCTAGTGGAGGGCTTTTGTCTTCTGATGGGAAAAAAAAAACCCTAGTTCAATGACATCCCAAGGCTATTAATACTCTAAATATGAATACTGTATAGGCTACTAAGAAAATAGGATATCTCCTGTGTTTTAAATATTGATTCATGCAATGAACACCCATGCAGCTTGATTGCATCACTGGTAAAAAATTTTCACTGCAGTGTCAGTGTAGCTGGGTCACATCATTAGGAAAGCAGGTACCTGCGAACTCCAGTGTAAATAAAGAAATCATCCATGTTTCTGTGACCCTGAAGCTTGCAAAAATAGTGAAATGTGAAGCTGAACAGTTCCTTGGTCGGGGAGCTTCTCCTTGTAGGTCTTAAGGGAACAAATGTAAAACTTGACAACTCCTATTCGGGCACACTAACTGTCCCTCCCCCAGGTTTCCCTCACATAGACAATGCAGAGAAAAAGCAGAATGCAGCATTTTCAGTTATGAAACACAAGCCTCCGGAGCATCTACTTGGCAACTGCAATTCAGAAACCCCAGCCTGTAACATAGAAAAGTAATTCCAACACACAGGACTGTGTGTTCTTTTCAATGCAAAAATGGAAATGACCTTTTGAGTAATCACCAGAGCTTTGAAACTAAGCCATGATGGTGTCTTTGTGCAGAGACAGGTGGGCTCAAGTGGGGTGGTAGTGAGGGGAGAGGTCTCGTGTGTATTTAATCAGGAAGAGAAGGTGGGGCTAATATAGTAAATTGTGCACTGGATATGAAGTGGCCTTAATGTATCTCTGACATCCTGGTTCCACAGATAACTCTCATCTTTGGAAACCCATAAGTTGAATATAAAGATTTGCATGAAAGCCATGATAGTTACTCTGTGTTCTAAATCAAAAATCAAAAGATCAAAAGTCACTTGCACGACTATTGCTTTCCATGCAGAACCAGATGCACACTGTAGAACAAACTGACTACAATGCAGGCTATTATGCGACATCTGCATTAGTTCCATTGAGCTGTGATTATGTTAATAGGCTTCAGTCAGACATCAGTTAACATTTTGGTAATATTCACATAGTTTGTGTTAGCCAAGGTGCAGTTGGCTGTTTTCAAGTTTTCTTCTCTAAAGTCCTCATTACTATTGTTTACTCCCTCCTGGATCTCCATGTAATCAGACTTACTAATAGTAGAGGCACTTCTACTTTTCTTCAGGTCAGGGGAGGAAGGGATCTTTGGACAGCTTGTCACTTGTAAGTACTGGGCCTGCTCCTCTCCCTCTGTCTCCCGGTGGTAGAAGTAGTTGAAATTGGACACTATGACAGGTACTGGTAAGGCAATGGTTAACACACCTGCAATTGCACACAGGGAACCCACTATCTTTCCCCCAATGGTAGTTGGCACCATGTCTCCATAGCCTACAGTTGTCATGGAGACGACTGCCCACCAGAAGGCATCTGGGATGCTGGGGAACTGGGACTCTCTCTCATCAGCTTCTGCAAAATAGACAGCGCTAGAGAAAAGGATGACCCCAATGAAAAGAAAGAATATCAGGAGGCCCAATTCTCTCATGCTGGCTTTGAGGGTCTGACCTAGAATCTGGAGACCTTTGGAGTGTCTGGACAACTTGAAAATCCTAAAGACTCTTACCAATCGGATGACACGAAGGATGGCCAACGACATGGCCTGCTGGCCTTGCTGGGCGTCCTCTGGCTTCTCAGCCAGCTCTGTCCCCAGAGTGATGAAGTAGGGGATAATAGCCACAATGTCAATGATGTTCATGATGTTGGTGAAGAAGCCGGCTTTGCTGGGACAGGCAAAGAACCTCACCAAAAACTCAAAAGAGAACCAGATGATGCAGAGAGTCTCTACAATGAAGAAAGGGTCAGTGAAGGAAGTGGACTGCTGATACCCCATGGTGCTATTGGGGTAGGTGTGGAAGGTCACCCCACCACCATGCATGTCTTCATTCTCATCCCGGAAGATGGGCAATGTTTCTAGACAGAAGCTGACAATGGAGATCAGAATCACCATGACGGATACAATGGCTATAATCCTGGCAGGCCCTGAGCTCTCTGGATATTCAAAGAGAAGCCAAACCTGTCTCTGGAACTCATTTTCTGGCAGAGGACGCTCTTCCTCCTTGATGTAGCCTTCATCCTCCCGAAACATCTCCATAGCTTCTTCTCCCAGTTCATAAAACCGTATTTCTTCCGAGAATATATCTAAGGGCACATTCACAGGTCGCCTCAGCCGGCCCCCAGACTGGTAGTAGTACAAAATGGCATCAAAGCTAGGGCGGTTGCGATCGAAAAAGTATTCATTCCGGAGGGGATCAAAGTACCTCATCCGCTTCTTGGGATCCCCTAAGAGGGTCTCTGGGAACTGGGCTAAGGTTTTGAGCTGGGTTTCAAACCTCAGCCCTGAGATGTTGATCACCACCCTTTCACAACACTCGTGGTCTGCCTCTGGGTCATAGGTGTCCTGTGGATGCCCAGGGAGGGCAGCAGCTTCGTCTGCTGGGTCTCCGGTGGCCACTGTCATAATTGGCACTGAGAGGAGGACTTCACACTATGCCTTCCAGCCCCCTGGTGGCAGTGGGGCTCAGGGTGCTGCTAATGGCCCCAGGAAATGCAGAAGCATTGGCCTGAGCTCCTGCACGGGGAGAGCCCCACAGCTCTCTTGACAGCTGGACAGACAGCCTCGCCTGGCTGAAAGACAGGCAATTAAGGACATGAGACCACCCAACACAGGTAGCCGGACCTGGGAGGCTGCTTACTGCCTTCCATCTCTTAGTCAAGAGTTAAAAAGCACAACTACAATTACACTTCCACAACCACCAAAAAAGCAGAATTTACTTTCACCATGTAAACTGTCTGGGGGGTCAGAGGGGAACAGGCGGCAATCTCAGAAGGAAGCTCTGCAATTTCCTGCACTGGAGGCAGGTGACTGGTACAGCATCCTGGGACAGCCATACTAGGAGGCTAAAAGAAGTCCTCTCCCAGGCAGTGAACTAACATTTCACAGGTATCTGTAACCTTTAACATATTCATGATGGAATATTTAGACCTGGGTCTTCCTCACTGGCCCCACCCCAATGCCTCTACTCATGGCGGTTATTAAACCATATACTGCTTTACCTGGCCAGGCAGGAACCTGAAGCTCTCGTCCTCACAGAACTGATCAGATGCTGGGAAATCCTAGACGCACAAATAGGCAGCCCAATTCCCCATCGTGTCTTCTCACTTGAGCTAGGAATAATGGTGAGTCATTCTGGGTAGTAGGACAGGCTCCAGGTCCTGGAGGTGAGCGCTCTCTGGCTGAGCTGGACTGCAGGGGCAGTGGGGTGCCTGGCCAGGGGCATGCAGGACTCCAGAACAGTGCTGCCTGGGTCAGGAGACTTTGGAAGGATGGAGGCAAGATGCACAGCTCAGCAAATGCCAGAGTCCTCCAGGCTGTCCTCAGGAGGTGTGACGTTGCCTGGAAAACACAACAACAAGGTGCAATCACGGCTTTGGGGAAGCTGGGGCCAAGATTTAGGAGGGCTCTGGCAGCTCGCCTCACTGCAGATGGTAAGGCCCCTTGCCCACCCTCCATTCTGGCACTGGTGCCGGAAATCTACCCCTCAGCCTCCCAACATCATTTGGGCAGGCTTCCTTCTCATCAGCTTTTCCCCAGGGAACAGGGCTTCAGGCTGGGCTGGGCAGTCTCAAGAGACCTCCCTGGGCTGATGTAGACCGATCCTCCTCCGCTGACACCAGGAGGGATTCTGGGCAAATCTCCCCTCAACCCCCTGTATTAGGATAAACATCTCCCAAGGGGAGGGCTTGGCTTTCTGCAGTCTGACTACAAGCTCTGACCTCAGTTGAGTCCTGGCCGAAGAAACGCCTCCACCAATTCCCCAACATATACACTCCTCCGGGGCTCATCTAGGGAGACCCCACACGCAGCAAGGTTGCATCTCCGTTCTAAAGCTGGATGACTTGAGTCGCTGAACTTACTCTCCCTCCGGGATCCCTGGGCCGTAGGCCTCCTTCTGAGCTGGGTGGCATTTGAGCCAGGCAGGCACTCGACCACTGATTTCTCCCCAAGAGAAAACCCCTCACATCTCCTCGGCAGGGAGCACAGAACAAACACTCAGCCCGTTGGCTGGTAGGCAGCAGCGAAAGGGGGAGCAGGGAGGAAGCTGGCTTCCGG